GTGTGGGGGGGGGTAGAGCGTGAGAGAGAATAAGAATCACTTGGGTCTGTAGTTGAGTGCATTTTTAACCATGAAAGATGACAGAAGAGAATGATGATAAAGAGGACTGCAGATGTACCAGGAATGGGGGCTTTCTGCAACTGCCAGAGACCAGATGTAAGATGGATTGTAAGCATTTAGCAACTGTCTTTTTGTTTATTTTACTTAGTGCACCTAGATACTGTCCTTTGCAATACCCTGAATTTGTGCCTTGTAGAAATAAAGCTTGTTTTAACTTGAGAGAGTCTGTACAAGCCCTCACCCATCAATCTGACCATTTGAAATGCTACTGAGTGACACCCCTTTGAGGCTGGCTTAGGGTAGCCCGTGTGTGTGTATGTGTGTGTATGTGGGGGGGCTGGGTCTTACCCAAAGTGGTGGAAGCGACGGGAAGGGGGGGGCAGCGGCTAGTCTTGCCCCACAACGTGACAAAGACCACAACATGCAATGCTCATATATGCAGGGCAACAGGAGATCTTCTTACCTCATTAATACTGACTTCTGCCTCTACATACTGCAGACCTTTCTGGATGATGGAGATCAAAGCAGCCGGGGGCACCAGAGCACCGTTGATGTTAGACTGGCTGATATGGCTCTCAATACCAAAGGTGAATGCTGAATGAGAAAACCCTAGAGACAAGGGGGAGGTTATAAGGGTGTGCTCATCCACACGGAGAAAAAGTTACTTGGTTGGGCCCCGCACCCAAACTGTCATCCCGCCCTCCCCGAACACCACTTTTCTATACCCTTTGGAGGATGGATGGTTGTGGTAGGTGATGAGGGAGGCAGAGGTCGATCCCTGTTGTGTGGTCTTTCCGCTACACAAACGGACTCACTGGCCATCAAGGAATAAATTCAAAGTTGGCAGTTTGATAATGTCAGGATTTTATACTTATTTCATTATAGGTTCTTACAGTCCACCTCACTTAGCTATCTACACCTATGCAAAAAACTTGTCTGACATAATCACTGCACTTTTGACCATCCACCAACCCACCCAGGATCAACTGAGGTCCCATCTTCCGGCACCACATGGCTGGCTGCACCCATAACGACAAACCACTACCTGTTATAAAGGGAATCCTTGGGGCTGTGCCTTCATCCCCTTCTCCCATCCCATTGTTGCCAGTTAATCAATCACCAGAGCTCTGTAACCTCCAAAACCCTGTTTAGAATCCTGACTTGGGAGGCAGAGGACAAATCCAGCCTGGCTACAAGCACTGAAATGAGGCTTAACCTCTCCCAGCTTCTCTTGTCCCCTCATCACATGCTCCTTCCTTCTCTTGAGCATAAAAGCAAACCAGGCTCAGAGCCACAGATGTCTTGTCCTCAGTCGGCTTTCTTTTTCACTCCAAACTGCACCTGCATTCTGAAATGGTCCAGTCCTGGGAGCGACTGTATCACTTGGGGTGAGACCCTTCGCCACTCACACAGGTTGCCTACCACCCTCTACACCTTTCTCTCAGGTTCAGGGTGACAAGTAGGTCAGGCCGTCACACGTCACTACTCTTCTCATTTCTTTTAAAATCTCTAGAGAGCTATGACCATTCCCCCTCTCAGGTCCTGCCTCTCACTCACAGAGACATCGGCCTGGCGGGTAGCCAAGTCCCCCCCCCCCTTAATAACAGGCCCTCACTCAAACTCTCCACAGCGTTGTTGGGGCTGGAAGCTCAAACCCTGCTTCATTTACACCCCGCTACCAATTATTCATATCCTAACTCATACAGAGACCAAGAACTTCACTGGAGCGTGCCTGTGTGTTTCTTTCCTGGAGACAGGTGGCCCACAGGGTTAAACAAACAAGGAGCTGCCTTTTATTTATGGTTTGAAGGGAACGGGAAAGTAAGGCAAAGGTTACAATGTTTCATTTCCATTGAACTTCAGAACTGCCTTCCTGTTCCAGCATTTGGGGATCTTCTGTTACAAACTGACTTTTCTTTCCCATCTACCTTTAAGCGGCTCTCCACCCCCAGCTCCACTGAGACACACCCCGCCCCCTCCCCAACTGCTCTCCAACTGTCTATCACTAACATTCCGTCAGCTCTCGTTGGTCGCTCTTAGGGAGAGGCGGAACCCAACCTGTCTGTCACACCTGAGTCTGCTAAATGTTTCAATCTCCTCTCAGTATTTAAGATTTATCACACTGCACCAGCCAAAGGCCATAGAAGAGAATATTCCCTCCGACAGCAGTAACACATATTTGACTCCAGCACCACTGCTACCCAGGGAAGCAATCCTCAGTTCCTTCTTAAACACTGGTCAAGTCTTTTAAACTAACCTCAAAGCTCTGTCGAGACAATGAGATTCATTTCCTTCATTTCTTCAAAAATTGCACAGGGCAAGGGAGAATAGGTCTATGCGGCGGGTGAGAATTAACTTCCAAGACAAAGCATTTTAATTGTGCACGTGCTCCGGCGCCAAGCACACATTAGTCCTGTATGCTAGCTTGAAGGGTGAAACAATTATAAAATTGTAAATAGGAGAATTAGGATTAGTGGATGCTAATATGTTATTGAGTTGCTTTTCAAAAAAGGTAAATTCATTGCGTCGAAGAGATTCCTCCAAAGCTGTTATGCTTTCCCTTCATGTGTTGTTAAGGATGTCAGAAATTTTCCCTTTGGGGACATTATAAACTGTTGCTCATGGGCAGCAGGAACTAAGACATTGCATGCATAATGAGGATGGGAAAAAAATAATTTCACAAATACGGCAAGTGGCAATGGGAGAGTGATCACGAGGCAAAAACCAGGATGGGGGCTACAAACAGGTGGGCTTCGGAAATGACTGGAGTCTCAAAGGGCAGAAAGCACATTCGGCTCTTATCCCAAGAGTAACCCCAGCCCAGTGTGGTGCTTTATTTTCTCACACATTGAGATATCTATATTCACTCTGCCTTGCTGACTTTTTGAAATACTGCAGTGGTGTCCCCCCCACACACACACACAAGTTTCAACAGAATCTATATACTAATAGTGAAGGCGCCCCCTTGCGTGCGGATACTTATTTCCACGCATCGGGGGCACCTGGGGGGGAGGGAGATTTTCGTGCACACTTGGGGCAGTCCCCAGGTGTGCACAAAAATCTGAAAAGTTGGAAAAAATATCGGGGGAATACTTAAATCCCCCCCAAAGTAACAGAGTGTCCACTGCGCGTGCGCAGGGAACTCTCTGCAAACTGCCTTGCCGCCGCCGCCGCTTCGGAGCCGGGGGGGGAGAGACCAGCGAGGCCCGAGTGGCTTGCAGCCGCCGGGCCTCGCTTCGGAGCCAAGGGTGTTGGGGGGGGAGCTTACCTCCTCCTGCTGCTTCCTCCTCTGCCTGATAAGTGTGCAGCTCCCCCCCCCCGCAAGTATCGCGGGTCCCGCCCCTTGTTTTTACTATTTGATAACTGACAATACATATCCTCTGGTTGGGGCTTTGTATATTTTTGCTTTAAAAACAACTCCAATCCTGTGTTTGGAAGAAAATATATACATTCTGAAAACAGACACCTGATTCCTGAACTAGACTGGCCTTACAGCATACCTTGGAGGTTCCTAGAGATCATCCTTCACCATAGTTCCCTCTAAGCTGCACTAGGGGGAGCTGGCACACAACATTTTAATAGGCAGTGCAGAGATTACTGCTTAAGCCCACAAGGCATTTCCCTCTCCGTTTGAAACCATGGAGGATGGGGGTACTTCCTTCTGAGGCCCATACAATTGGGCCCCTTCATCCAATCTTTTTGAAACTTGGGGGGGGGGGGTTTGAGGAGAACTGGACCTCTACCTAAAAAACAGTCCCCCCCAAGAGCCCCAGATACCTCCAAATTGATTATCCATTATAGGACACAATGGAGCCAGACCCTACTCAAGGGAATAAAAAACCTGATTTCCCCAAACAGCAAAAACTGGAACAAGGCCTCTTGTCTGGACATTAAGGCTTGGAAAGACTCATATATACAGGATTAAAAATGTACGGCATTCAATTCTTCCATCAGAAAAAAACAGAAGTGCACTGAAGAGAATTCCTGAAAACATTATTTTCCCTTTTGGAATAAGTAAAATGTACTAAGGTAGTATAACAAGCAGCATTTTCCAGCTCTCTCTCTCAACTTCAGCATTGGGTATATTTGCAGTCTTCCTTGTCTAAACTAAGGAATTTATACTCTAACATTCCAAAAATATCCTAGTTCATACAGTTTTATATGCTAAGTAAGTTATAAGGGCTGCATTTCATGTTGTTAAAGCGACTTTTGGTTTGACAGGAAAGTAGGTACTGCATATATTTAAATTTTCCCCATTATGTCCATTTTTTTGTTCTTTTTCATTGGCTTCAATGTTTCATGAAATTCTACTTCTCCAAAACTGAGCCAACATTTGAGTGCATCACTTTAACAGCATCATCTTTTAAGACTTAGAATAGCTCAGCTGGGATACCATCACCTCCACTAGCTTTGTTGTTAGTAATGCTTTCTAAGGCCTATTTAACTTCAAAGTCCGCATGGTCAAAGCAATGGTATTCCAAGTAGTCATGTATGGCTGTGAGAGTTGGCCTATAAGGAAGGCCGAGCGCCGAATAATAGATTCTTTTGAACTATGGTGCTGGAGAAGACTCTTGAGAGTCCCTTGGACTGCAAGAAGATCAAATCAGTCAATCCCAGATGAAATCACCCCTGACTGTTCCCTGGAAGGCCAGATAATGAAACTGAAGCTCAAATACTTGGGCCACCAAATGAGAAGGGAGCACTCCCTGGAGAAGACCCTGATGCTGGGAAAGATTGAAGGTCAAAGAAGACGGGGACGGCAAAGGATGAGATGGTTAGACACTGTCATAGATGCAACGAACATGAAATTGAGCCAACTTCAGAGGACGGCGGAAGACAGGAAGGCCTGGCATGATCTGGTCCATGGGGTCGCGAAGAGTCGGACTCGACTGTGTGACTGAACAACAACAAAAGCTCAGGAACTCTCTCCTCAACTCTCCAGGTTGTCAAGCACAGATGGTGTTTTCCCAGGACCTGCTACTTTAGATCTTTTATCCCCATGATATAAAGGATCAAACCTGCAACCTCAGTGCACAAAAAACACAGCTCCTGCAACTACTGCTGGGCCACTCTCAGCTGGGCTTCAGCACCAGCACTGGACATACTCAAATAAGGGCACCGTGGCTAGCAGCTCAGCGGGGGTCAGGTGACCCCCTCCCACTCGAATTCCCAACCCATTGAAAGGGCCCATTTGATTCCACCTTGCGGCCCCAACAGATTTATATGAAATTATCACTACCTGTGCATTTATTGTTTATCGTTTTAATGATTTTAATGTGATTTTACTGTAACGAGCCTTGAACTCGTTTTTCTGTGATCCGCCCCAAGCTTACTTTGGGGAGGGCGGAATCGAAATCTCAACATAAAAATAAAATAAAATATAGGGAACCAGCAGAGTCCCACCTGAACGTACAAAGCTTCTAAGTCTTTCCCAGTCCAAGCAATCTACTGCTCAAGCGTGGACAGGGCTGCTCTTAGACTGCCCATCCCCACATGTCTGGATGCAGACTTCTAAAGCCGCAGCCCATCCACAGCTGGAGGTTCTAACTATGGACCAGGCCTGTCATTCATGTAAAAGCTGCAATGTGGAGGGCATATTCTGTCTGCCG